TAGATTCAGTTTTGACCGTGTAGGTGGATTCTACCCAAAATTTGGGTAGTTTTGGAATAACGTGTACTCTTTCACCGCATTCGGCAAACATTTGGTTTGCGTCCGCACTACTGACCGAAAAATAAAACCGACAGCATCGACAACTGCCAGCTACCGACCGAAAGAAAAAAAAACGAACGGAGCATTCTGCATTTGTCAATTTGAAATGAACAACTTCCAAAAGAAAGTGAGCACCGTTTTAATCACATTTTTCCAGTTTCGCCGGCCAAATCAGATCCAATCATTCCTTTTCCCGTTCATCGTCGAATTTTCTACGTCCTGATAGTGATCGAAAAAGTGTTACATACAAAACCGTACCTTATATTGCGTGTTAACTTTTCTTCCGTCTGCTGCTCGGAAAGCTGTTTTTGCTACCGCGCGTCCGCCCCCTCCCTGGGTCCATCAACTGCAGCAGCTTGGTGCCAGAGTTTGACGTTTCGTCGATACGCTCCAGACTGCGTCGTTGAGTGTGATTTTTTAGCAGTGAAATAAATCCTTTCAAATACGCTAGAAATCGTCCTAGCGCGGTCCTTCTTCACGGGAAATCTATAACGCCCTCTCCAGGAACCGATTGGTCGTGATTGTGGCCGGTATATCGCGTGTAGTCATTCAATTATCCGTTTGTTTACATCGCTCGCCCTTGCACAGGATGTAAGCGGAATGCCTTCCACATCGAGACCACGAGGAACGTCTGGCACTGGATCGGGTGGATCTGGACGGCCAGCTGTTACGGCTCCGATGTCCGAACGACAGCAAATGGCACTGCTCATGCAGATGACTTCGTCGGGCCCGGGCAACGAAGGCGGTAAGTGCGGATTGTTAATGTACGGAAATCATCGAGGGGGTTTGTTTTGATTTTCGTTTTGTTTTTTTTTTTTTTAGAGATGAGTCCCGGATCGAGCAGTTCCGCTGCAACAATGGGTGGTGGAGGCGGAGGACACTCACGCCGCGATCGAATAAACGAACGTGGTGAAACGGCGCTGCACCTGTCGTCGAAGAAAGGCGACCAGGAAACGGTCAAGAAGCTACTGGAACAGGGCTCCAATCCAAATGTGACGGATTTTGCGGGTGAGTAACAGTTTAGAGAGGTTTATTTTGTTTTTTCATGTTTAAAATTTCGAGTTTTGTCGCAAAAATTAAGGAAATTGTAAATCGAGTCAAACCAGTGTGCATTGGAACAAACAGCTGGAAGTAGGTTGAAAACAATTTTTGTTGACAAAAAAATTCGAGTAAGTACGAGCAACTTCGAGCTAGTACAAACTATAGTCGCTATATTTATAGTCTGGCGGATCGAATTTTGATCTATAAAAAATGCACCCCACACGACAGAAGGTTTGTCAATATTTTTGGGGGGTCATCAATACAGGGTCGCTCCTCACTAACATTATTGTATCCGATGGAATATTCCGAGTCAAGTCACAACCACGTTGACAAAAGTTTCCAAATCTGAAGTGAGCTGAACTTCTTTAGAGTTTACAATACTTCCTTGAAGATTGCAGACCTACTCCGAAGGAGCTTTAAGGAGCTCCTATGCAATTTATGAAAGATCTGATTATTTCAAGGGAAGCTCGGATCTTAAAAGGAAGTTCTCTGAACTTCAAGCGAAGTTGTCTAAAATTCAGGCGAAATTCTCTGAATTTCATGTGAAATTCTCTGAACTTCAGGCAAAATTCTCTGAACTTCAGGTAAAGTTCTCTGAGCTTCAGGTGAAATGCTCTGAACTTAAAAAGAAGTTTACAGAAGCTCACAGTCCAACAAACGATTCGAAAAAAAAAATCAGAACTTCCAACGAAAAGATTACAGATCTTCCCTGAAGTTCGAAAATCCCTAAGGTTCACATAACTTCACTGAAGGTCACAATTAATTCCCTGAAGTTCGAAGAAAAGGTCAGGGAACTTCCGACAAGAAGTTAAGAGAATTTCCAAACAGAGGTTCAAAGAACTTCTGTTGAGAAGAACAGAGATCTTCCAACGAGAAGCTCAGGGAACCTTCGACGAGAAGCTCCGAGATTTTCCAAAGTCCGATAAGTTCACAGAACTTTATTTAAATTCTTTGAAGATCAGATAGCATGCGACGAGAACTTTCGGCTAGACGTTCAGATGTTCAGAAGATGTTGTGTTATGCATCTTCCTGATCAATTAATTCGTAGAGTAAAAACACATCCACAATTCAATTAACAAACGTTACCGTTAACCTACATTTTACTTCATTCATAAGCACATTAGTACCGCAACGCGACAGAATGAGGACGGTCAGAAATGCATGCATGGTGCAATTAATTTTATTCAATATAGTCCCCTTTTAGCTCTCGATACACTTATTCCAGCAATTTTCCAACTTCATGATCCCGTCCGCCTTTATCTTTCGTTAATAACTTGAGCACAAAACCGTTTCTTGGTGTGTTTGTCATATTAGATGCTAGATAAAAGCTTCTTTTATCGATCTGTGGGCTGAAAATACCTGGAATTATCTTTACAAGGCCGTGGGGATGCAAAGAGAAAGTCGACGAAGAGAATCTGTCAATGTTACTTAGGACCTAATGCAATGTTCAGCTTGATTTGTTCCGCAATCTAGTGCCAATCATGGTGGGTATATAAATGGTGATACAGCTTTGTCACTATATAGGCGAGGAGGTCGCGGGGGGGAAAAATGCGGTTTTAGAGCAAATTGTAAACAAACTCGGTCGCTGTCCCATACAAAAATCCAACATGGCTGAATCACGAATTTGACACATTAGAACACCTATATGTAGCCACCTTGGTGCCAATCACCGACAGACATCGATTGCCATGCATTGACGGTAATCGAATGTACACAGGGAGGCAGCTTCCACATCTGCGTAGAATATCGCACCATACCCCACTCGGCTGGAATTGAACCCAGATTCATTGGGGTGAGAAAGCAGTCATGCTTACCACTAAACCACCAGCGCCGGCTTAGCTGCAGTCGGAACCGCTGCAGCGAATCGGATTCCACAAACATAAACAGAAAAAAAGATAGTTGATGTTCGTGTGAGAGCGGTGAGAGCAGATTTTGTTTTGGCTGCGTTCTTTTTGAAAATTCGAGATTTTCTCCAATACGCCGGCGTAATTAAAGTTGTATCCGAGATTAAAATTGAGAATAATACGGCATGGTGCTTAGCAAAATCAAGGATATTTCGTGATTGGCGTATTATACTCGGAGGAGTTTACCACTATAAAAGCTTGTGTGCACATTTCAAGCTGAACATTACATTAGGTCCTAAGTAACATTGATCGATTCTCTTCGTCGACTTTCTCTTTCGTCAATAACTTGAGCACATAACCGTTTATTGTTGTGTTTGTCGTAGTAGATGCTAGATAATAGCTTATTTCACCGATATGTGTGCTCAAAATACCTGGGAATCTCTTTACATGGCCATGGGGATACAAAGAGAAAGTCGACGAAGAGAATCTGTCAATGTTACTTAGGACCTAATGCAATGTTCAGCTTGATTTTTGCTGAACAAATCAAATCGATATCTCACGATATCACGAGATATTACCGGGTTCACACAAATGGTCGCGTTTGCATTAAAAAGGCATTATGAAGTTATTGTTCATTAGCCCAACGCTGAGTAATTAATTTAGAAAAGAGCGTATATTTTAAATGTTTTTTAATAACATGGGACAGTTTTTTACGTGCAACGGTAGTTCAAATTTTGCATATAGGACCTTTCCTAAACGAGTTCTCTCTTCTACCGTATTCTCGTATCTTCAAATACAGGTTGTTTTCAATATATTTCGTTTATTTAGATGGCTCAATTGCGTGAACATTACGGAGCCGATAATTCATTGTTCATTGTTCAACGAAATTACTAGACTTAGAAGTAGAAGTTGGGCCGAATACATGCGGCTTACCCGCGGTTAGAGGGGTACATTGTCAAAGGATAGGATTATGGAAGGATTTGGGGTGGGGTTTCGTTGTCTTATCATTCAAACATCGATAACTGGATAACGTCTTTTCATTACCGTCTGTAATGGAAAATTCGCATAGCAGGCGTTAACGAAAAGACGTTGATTACCTACCCTGTTCAAACACTTGCTGTTTCTAACATCAATTTCCCTTTTCAGGTTGGACACCTCTGCACGAAGCGTGCAACCATGGCCACTACAACGTGGCTCTCGCGTTAATCAAGGCTGGTGCCAACATCAACGCCACCGGACTGGAAAATGATACTCCCCTCCATGATGCAGCTATTGTGGGGCAGCTTAAGCTATGTAAGATGCTCATCGAGCGTGGAGCTGACCCAACGTTCAAAAATCAGAAAGGCAAGATGCCGTGCGACGTTGCGGCACCGGCCGTGTACAACTACCTACTGCAGGCACGAGGTGAGTGGAATGCTTTTTCTTATCCATGATACGGTCCAAGCACCAACCCGACGTTATCATGAAAAATTGAGGTTGGTTTTAGTAGTGCTGTTCAGCCAGGTATTCGGTGTTTACATGTAAATTTTAGCTGGTATTCGGTCTTTTTTCAGCTAATAGAAGGCTGACAAAGTGTTTATGCTAAATTTTGTCAACAAATAGTCTGATATTCGGTCGAATACTATGATGGCCGAATATCCAGTGCATTATTATTATTTTTTTGCTTTATTAGAGAGATTTTCAACCTTGGGCTGGTTCATCTCTTAAAAACGAAGGGTGAGGACTTCAGACGGGAGTCCCCCTAATTACAGAGGTAATAGGAAGGGGAGGTGAGGTTCCAGAAGAGAACCCCGAGGATGTGCATTATTAGTATAGGGACTATATTTCTACACTATCTTGAAGGTTATAATCATTACAGGGGGTTATTCTAGTTAGTGACAAAAGTCACTTCGACTTTCGGAATAACCCCCAGAATATAGATTAAAAAAAAAACATCCAAAAATTCCGTCAACATTAATTGCAACACATATTAGTTAGTACGGCCATTTATCGCGCTATGTGGCTAGCAAGATATTGAGGTATTAGATTTTGACTCGCCTTCGTACCGCCCTTGGTCTTGTATATTGTAAGTTTGTTTTTGGAGTGAGCGGTAATTCTTGATCTTGTGCTTGGGTCTCCATTGCAGATTTTCTTCATCTTCTTCGTATTACAAGGTTACTGCTTATCGCGCACTCTCAACTTAGTTTTCTAGATGCACTTCCACAGTTATTAATTGAGAGCTTTCGATGCCTGTACCATTTTAGTATTAGTATAATTGTGCGGCAAGAACACTCATACAACCCAACCCAACTGGACCGGGAATCGAATTCAGCCACCTCCAGCATGGAGAGAAGAATTCTGAAATAAACGCTGGGCTTCAAAAGGAAGTGTTTGAGAATATTCTAATAAAATTCTTTTCAGAGTTTTGAGTATATTTTCAGGGTAGTTAAATTATAGACAAGTTTTGAAAAATTCGAACACAGGTCCAGGAAAAATGCTGCTAACTTAGTAATTACCTATTTAACCTAGTGATATCGGATTTCGGTCGCATGCTTAATTTGTATGCACACTAAGAATATTTCACATAAATTTACCGAAAACTCAACAGCTGCACGTTCGGTGATTTTTCACAGTTTTCCTGTAAATTTCAACTCTGTGAAAAATTACAGGAATACTGAGAAATATCACCGAACTGTTTACTTAACGTTCAGTTGTTGAGATTTCGGTGAAATTTTATAGAAAATTTTTCACAGCCGAGAAAATTTCCAAAATTACAGGAAAAAAACCGGGAAATTGCTAATCGGAATTCACTGTGATTTAGATACTTTTGAAAGAAAATGCAAGAATTAGAAGAATGAAGTCTCAAAGAACTTGAAAACTTCTCACGTTCCCTTATGTTCTCCCTAATACTCAGCTCCATGTCCGGAATAATTAATGTTAAATTAAACACCCTGGACCTTGAAGATTTTTCTAAATAGAGGATCATATAAGTTTCTAAACATGAAATCTTGAAGCCTTAGGCTGAAAAAGATTTTGTTTTTGAATTCCTAATCCTTGAATCTTGACCTTTTTCTGTGTGATTCTTATATGATTTACTCCATAATAAAGGGTGGAACGGTTAAAAATTGGTCAATCATGATTAAGTGCACACTGATAATGTTATTGTATAAATGATCAAACTTTATTTCTTTTTGAAGTTCAATGACTACAAAATACAGGAAAATTATTTTATAAGGCCTCCGATTTTTCAAAAGCGAACTGTTTCACACCTTCCATCAGATGTTGTACCGCTGTTTTATCAACCATATTTGATGCTGATCGTCGATTTGCTTTGAAATGTTTCTTATTTCCAACTGTTTTCTGTGTTTTCTTGAGGTTCGCTTAACGATTGTTTAATATTTTTCAATTGGGTGCAGCTCCGGCGAGTTTGGATGGTTTTTGTCCTTGGGTTGCACGTTGTTGGCGGTACAGTGCTTTCCCAATTTTGTCAGCCCCTTCTCAAATTTTAGGCTGACAAAATCGGGAAAAAATGTCCTATTATTTTTTTTATCAAAATCATTACAGAATAAATAAATTATTATAGGGTACGGGGTGCTATGGGATAATATGACCAACAGCGCTGATTTACAAATTTAATGGAGTTTCACCCGAAGAAGAGCTGCAGAACAGTCATCTGGGAAATTGTTTGTATCAATTTTTAATAGTATGAGAAAAAACGCTGTTGGCAATAAAACACCGGGGTGCGTTTTACGCCTCCTTGTTCTACACAGTTCGAAAAAGTAGTGTAAATTTCTGTTCAGTATGATGCACATGATGGTTTGGAAGAGTTTTTACAAATAATAACCATATGTACACAGATAAAATTTTTGAATTTTAATAGTGATGTGATCATTCATTCACGTAAACTTGAATTTCATTTCACGCAATCGAGCAACTTGTAAACAATGTTGTTTACAAAGATGGGTTTGTATACAATATTTACTACATTGCATGAAATGTGTCAAAACTTTACATGATAAATAATGTAAACTTATATGATATGTGACACTCCATTTATGTGCATCATATTGAACAGAAATTTACACTACTTTTTCGAACTGTGAAGTTGGTACGGGGTGGTATCCACTAGTTGGCTAGTGCAGCTCCACTAAAACCCATTCCTTACTCTCTCCTCTGCCTGGATCCCCCGGGATCACGGTGAAGCGACTAATTCGTGGGGTCTGTGCTCATGCACTTCTCATACTCTCAGTGCTAACTGATGTTGCTAGATCACTGTTCATCTCTTCATGCCAATTGCCTTCCTCTGCACAAATTTCATCGACGAAATTCTCCACGTTAAGAAATTCTCCACAGGCATCTCCCTTCGCACTGTCTCGCACCTTGGACAGTCAAAGACCATATGCTCCGGCGTTTCATCCACGTTGAAACACTGCGGACAGAGGGGCGACGCTGCGTGTACGAACCGATGCAGGTATTTCCTGAGGCAGCCGTGGCCAGACAGGAATTGCGTCAGGTGGTGGTTGACTTCTCCGTGTTTTATGTTTACCTAGGTCGAAAGGATCGGTAATAACTGATGTGTCCATCTACCGTTATCCACCTATTGCCACTTTGCCAAAGTCTCCGCTTTCACCACTTTCCGTAATCTACAGGCTTCTCTCCGACTGTAGCACTGGCTGCCCTCCGCCGGATGATGCCGATAGGGATCATTCCGGCGATAGCGCATACTGCTTCCGATGAGATAGCTCTGTACGCACTCACGACTCGCATATCCATGAGTCGAAACGTACTGCTCAGTTTCCTTTGAGTATACTTCGTTTCCAGTGCTGGATCTCCATTCTAGCTATTGTGTTGATGGCCTTCGAAGCATTCTCACAGACATATTCGACGTGGCTGGTGAAGTTTAGCCGGTCATCGATCAACACTCCCTGGAATTTCAACACGCGCATCGAGGCAACGGCGTGCGTTGGACCAAGGATGAAGCCTTGTGGACCTCCCGCTGTGATCCTAATGTCTGTCTCGTAGGCCAGAACCAGGTTCTGAAAGTAGCTCCTCAGAATCCTGCACAGGTAGTCAAGGACCCTCATTATATTTAGCGCTTTGACAATGGCTTTCCAGCTGCGCTGTTGAACGCATTCTTGACGTCGATCGTTATCACGGCGCAATATTGATCTCAACTTAGCTTCTGTTTGGACGCCTTCTCGGCTCTCTCGACCATTGTCTGAACTGAATTGCATCCACCGTTGGTCTCCCTTTCCGGAATCCAAACTGCCTCTCCGACAATCCAAAACAAAAGCTGATAGGGCTGATTAGGTTGAAGTATTGCCCCTTTCAATTGAATGTTATTTATCTCCGTTAAATTCGAGAATTGAAGAGAGAGAATGTATGCTCTTTTTATTTTCTAATAGCGAATTCGTTTATTATTCAGTTCCAACCTGGATCTCGGGTATCAAGATTGGGTCTGCTTGTTTTCTGACAAACGTCAGTTTGATCGTTTGTTTTTAAAACCTAGCTTAGGTTGAGGTTCGCACTGACAAAAAGTTCGGTTTCGCACTAATAAACGAATTCGCTATAAAAATAAATATTTGTCGACAATGAAGCAATGTTTTTATTAAAATTGAAAACAAAGAAAAAAATCATTTCTCCAGCATACAGCAATTCAAAACTAATAATTCTTAGTAGGAGAATATTAAATGAATGTAAATGAATTAAAATGTACAAGGTACATTGGATGAAAGACCTGTACGTTGAATTGATTGATATTTGAATAAAAAGCACACATTTCAGTAAAGTGTAAGAATAAAAATTATTCACAGCGTAAAGTTTGAGAATTCATGTTTAATAACTCAAAAATTTAGTGAAATCCGCAGGCTGACGAAATCGGGAAAAAAAGCTGACAAAATCGGGAAAGCACTGTATATCATTCCTGAGCGATTTTCCCGTAGTGACAGGAAGCGAGGTCTGGCCAAAATAGCACGGAACAACTGTGCTTATTCAAATATCTTTGTTGACAATACCAGTTGTCACGAAAGTTTCGCTTTTCAGCCCACAGGTGCGAAACGCCTGCCAAACCAAGTATTTTTTCGGGAACTTTGACAACTTTTTCTGCTTAAACTTATCTTGAACCTTCACACTTAAAAAAATTCATGTAAATTTAGGTGCTCTGACACTGACATATACGAGCGTCATTTTTGACATAAAATTGAGTCGTAATAGACGCAAAACTCAGCTCAATCAAACGTACTTTTCGTCGAGTACCGAACTTTTCAGTCTCGAAGCACTTAATTTTACATGACATGTTTGTTTGCGTCTCATCCTGTGTGTCAAAGATGGATTCCGTCACGTGTAAAATTAGGTATTTCTAAGTGTGTTTCTTTTTCCGGTAGCCGTGTAAACTCTTAACCTGGGAGCTGCTTGAAATCCGCCTT